TTCTGGATCACAAGAGGTCTGCAGCGCTGGAGAGATGGAAGGTCCTCGTCTTGTCTTCAGGGGAGGCTGCAGCTTTGGGGAGATCCATCCTGGAGGCTCAGCAGAGCGAGGACCCTGCTGCTGTTGATGCTTCGATTGCCGATGCTTTCCATCGCAAAGCTACCTCGACTCTGAGGACTGGGGCTGTCTCTGCTCATGTTTTGTAGGTGGCGAGCCACAGAAGGCGGGACTGCGACTGGGATCTTTCCTTTGGATGAGCCGACGGTGTATGACTGCGTGGCCCACCTTAGGTCGACCAAGGCGCCCCGCACCAGGGCTCCTAGATTCCTCGAGGCTTTGGGCTTCACGAAGGGAGTGCTGGGGGCCGAAGTACAGAATATCCTGGATTCAGCGCGCATTCGTGGTGCTGCCGAGGGCTCTGCTGAGGTTACGGTGAGGAAGGCCCCTCCCTTGACCGGGGCCCAGGTTAAGTTCTTGGAGTGGTTCGCGGCGACCGCAGAAGGGCAGGAGGCTGTCTTCGTGGGGCACGTCTGCTTCTGCAGATGCCAGGCTGAGGTGGGGAGACTCCCAGCACTGTGCTTTTGAGCCTTTCCTGGATGTCTCTGGAGGGAAAGTTTTGTGGAGGCTTCGCTGTACAACCACAAGACGGCCCAGAGGACAGCTGTTTTGAGGAACAGACTTTTGCCTGCTGTGGGGATCACTCCGGGGATTTCTGGGCTCGACTGGGCTTCGAAGTGGCTCGACAACAGGGCTGGGTTTGGTGGCTTCTCGGGGAGAACCAACTATGCCTGCCCCGAAAGCCGGGGGAGGGTGGGTCAAGATTCCTTTGTCATCGGACGAGGCGGCTACGTGGTTGCGGGGGAGATTCTTCGGGCTCATGATATTCCCTCCCTGGGCCCCGGAAACGGGACTCGATCCTTCAAACCCACGATCCTCTCCTGGATGTCTAAAGCTGGAGCCCCACATAGTCTCCAGAGGCTCGCCGGCTACCACGTTGAGCCGGGGGCAAAGAATCGATTGGAGTATGGAAGGGATGCGATGGCTCCGGTTCTCGGATTCATTGAAGGGCTCCTGGAGGTTATTTCTGGGGGTTTCTTCGACCCGGACCGCACAAGGTCTGGCAGATGGATTGGGTGTCGCTCCTTCGACGATGCCGTGAGGAAACTGAGTGACGCTTCAGGTGCCGGGGGCCTTTCTGGTCTGCACAGCGAGGAGGAGGCTGGTCCGTCCATAGCACCTGAGGTTTACGATGTCTGGAATCCTGAGGAGCCTTTGGAACCTGGGGATGCCACGCCTCGGTCTGCAGCACTGGGGCCCGAGCCAGCTTCCTCCGAAGAGCGTCAGGTGTCTGATTGTGATTCCTCGTCCGCGTCTCTTCAGGATGAGGAAGAGTCCGAGGATGCTGAAAGGATGGCCGAGCTTGCGGGAGAGCAGGTGGCCGAGACCATCCAAGGAGCAGCGGACGCTCTTGAAGGCTCCTTCTTTCGACATGTCGTCAGTGGCGTTTTGCATAAGGTGCGAATTTTGAATCCCGACAGTGAAGGTGAGGCCACAGTTTTCTTTTGTGGCCGTCAGGCGAATGCCAACTATAAGGAGACCAAAGGGTGCTCCATCTACGAGCCTCGCAAATGTGCGAAGTGCTGGTCAGAGCGTTGACGCAAGGGCGCGACTAAATGCTAGGGATTCGAGTGCTGCGTGAGCTTCTTTGAGTGCGAGTTGGAGTGCATGAGGGACCTCGCGAGCTGCACGCATGTTCTCTTGATGCAAAGTTGAATTTTCTTTTCGGCTGTGAGCTTGCTGCTCGAATGTCGGTGGTAGATAGTGAGGCAGTTTTCTCTTCGAGATGTGCGAAGGTCGGCCTCAGCCAAGGGGCCATTGATACTCTGCGTGCGAAAGGATGGGGCACACATGCAAATTTTGCCTTTTCCACTGCAGTGATTCCGGGGCAGGGAGACGATAGCGTCTTCGTGCGTGATGTGATCACAGCCGTCCTAGGGGACGCGGATCATGCTTCGGCGGCGGCTTTGCGGAGGTTGCACTTTGAAAGTTACACCCTCGCTGCTGCTGAATTAAAGCGACAGACGGAAAACACTGAGAGTGACGTTCCGCGGAAACTTCCACCTACGGAGATCTCCAGCCGGATCGATGCTTTGCAGACAAAGATTTTACCGCTGAGGATCGAGGACAGCCTCGAGCCATCCCACGCGGTTGTGAACTTGGTTTGCCAATGCGTGGAAGATCAACGCGTGCGTTACCTGGAGCTGTGCAGAGTGACTACAAGGAATCAAGAAGTGAATTCCTTGAAAGAAGTTCCCTCCCTTCGTATGTTGCAGCCGGATCGCAGTGGAATGCTGAAAGCTGTTGCTTCCCCGGATGCTTTGAGGACCAAGGTGGATACGGAGCTGGAA